AGGAGAGGAGGACGGGTAGGCGGCGGCGGGCGGGGCGCTGGAGGAGCTCTGGAGCCGGCCGGCAGTCCTGTGCTGGAACCAGTGCCGGTCGGAAGGTTCTCCAGCGGTGTAGGCTCCGGGCCCCGTCGCCATAGGCCCCCCTTGTCTTGTAGTGCCGTGCATCGCAGTGTGTGTGTCTGTGTGTGTGTGCTGGAGGGTTTGGTGTCGGGTGTCCAAGCTGCGGTCTCTCGCCCCGCCCGACATGGGGCAGCCCGGATAGAGCACAGCACCGGTGCGGTGCGGGCCCCAGGACCTCCTGCAGTGCATCCTCCTCTACCTCAGTGCGCGCATCGGCTGTCCTTGGATTATCATTATCATCGACATCATCAAGCACAAGCACGAGTTGCTCCTTGGAGGAGTTCGCCAGCGGACGCTGCTCTGCTGCGCCGTGCTCAGCAGCACCAGCCACACCAAGAAGGGGTACTACTCCTGCAAAAAGAAGACGCCGTGGAAGAGCAGTTGAATTTGGATCGCCACTGCCGCCGCTCACCGACCACCTGGCGGCACGGGGCTCGCAACTGTGCAGCTGCTCACCCCTTCGCCATTATCAGAACATTCGGAATAAAAGAAAAAGTAAAAGTGATGACCGGTAGAAGTACCCCGTAAGGTTGTCCGTCCGTCCGCCCATCTGTCCGTGTGTGTCTGTCTGCTCGGCCCGACCCCTTTCACGTGTACTGTACACGCGTTGCGCCGTGCCCGGTATGGTATGGACAAGTCCTAGTGTCTCCGACTGTCTCCTCTCCTCCCGACAAGGCAACACTGACAAGTCACTGACACTGCCTCGACATGACAGCTTTATGCCAAAGAGAGAGAGGGGGGGGGGGTATGAAAGACCGACTTTCTCGCGGCTGGGTAATTCTCCCTCACAGTATGAGGAGAGGACGTAACGTGAGTGGTTTTCTGTCCGACGCGGCGGGAAAACCTGCTGCTGCCACCACCACCAACACGACACTGCACACGGGCGACGTCTGAAAGTAAAATGCGTGTCAAAAACAAAAAGAAAAACAAGTCGACAATTATGGTCGAGTTTGTGTTTCAAGTCATTTATTTGTTTTATTGCGCCGGACGGCCCCGTGGGCGCAGCGGCGGCCCGTCTTGTTGCCCACGTGGACCTACACGTGTGTGTGTGTGTGTGTCGGTGTGTCGGTGAGCCGTTTAATCGCGCGGGCTGATGCGCCGTGTTATTTTCTCACCGCAGCGCGACCAAAACGATTGGGTGGTTGGGGCGTTCACTGCCGCTCATTGGGCCTCAGCGCCGCCGCCGCCCTTTAGTGGAGCGCCGAGCGGTACCACTATGACGAACGGGACCAAAGAGCCCCCAATGAAAAAGCAAGATTTTTTTGTAAATGAAAAGGAGTAACGGTGGTGATTGTAGACCTGCGCAGAAAGCAGTTTTGTGCTTTTGCTTATTGAAAATTAATGGGTGGAGAGGGAAAGGGAGGGGGGTGGCTGTGTTGCGTTGTTGTTTTATTCTCGCGTCTAGTTTTCCCTGCAGGGTTTTTTTTTTTTGTTGTTGTTTCTCGACGCCACCTGTTGCTCGCTCATTACGGGATGTAAGTGTTACAACAGGAAGTGCACACATTAAAGGCAAATTGCAACATTCTCTCCCATCGCAAGAAGTTTGGAGCATAAAAACGCTTGTCGATGGCAAAAAATGGATTGCTTTTGCTGTGTGTAAAATCTGCAATAATGCACATACAGACTGCATGTCTTTACATGAGGTGCTCTTCAACGAATATCGACACGACTGTTCAAGACCAGGAATATTTTCATCACGACACAAATAGTAAAAATTCATCGCGCCTAATTATCATTTATATTGTTGCATCATGTTGCATTCATTGTTGCATGCGATAACGTGCACGTTGCAGTCATCATTCTGATTTGCTCATTTCTATTTCATTTATAATGGGTTAGATTTAACGGGTTTCACCCCTTCCATTTCCCATTCGTCGTGACTCTACTTGAGATGTTACTATTTCGTTGGTCAATGCCGTTCTGCCGCTCTGCTCGCGCTTTATTCTCTCTTTTCTTCCGTCGTCGCCTCCTTCCGGTTAACTCCTCTCCTTCCTCCCTCCCCCCCTTTTTCATTCTCCTCTCTCATCGAGGCGTAGAGTCAAGCGGCGCCGCCGTCCTATTCTGAGGAGGATCCGAGCAAAGCGGAGCAAAGCGGAGCAAAGCGCGCGACAAACGCATTCCTATTTGTGGGAAATGTTTTGAACCTGATTGACGCTGGGAAATGGGACTCTTCACGGCGGAAAGGGGAAGGGGCAGGCAGAAGTCAAACCTGACTCAGTTCGGAAAGGAAAAGAAATAGGTTTGGGAAAGCGAATTAAGGCGAATGACAGCGGATGTGTCAAAATTCACTCGTGGGTCGTTTTTGCCATACATTTTTCTCTAAAATGATGCCGTTGATCTTGTTAAAATCTGTTGTTACTTGGAGCCATACTAAAACGCCATGTTGCGGTTGTTTGACGGTGTAGGGTAGGATGATAGTCCTAGGCTAAGTAAGACACCGGGGACGTACTGTACAACGCCATCTCGAATCTGTTGTGGGTTCGCCTGAGATAGCGGTGCACCGCCG